CCACAAACTTCTCTTGGAATGATGTGTCACAATCGTTGGTTTCCACCACTATCAGTCTTACGGGTCTCTCCCGTTCCACTAGGCTCACTAGCCTGCTGGGCTCACTAGCGTAAGTCACAAAGTACTACGCTCACTAGCGTAGCTCAGGACACGGTAACCATTGGAGGGAGAGGAGAGACTCTTCTTGCTGATTGCGACGCGGATTACGCTGGTGACGTGAAGACAAAGCGGTCCACAACGGGGTACGTCCCCCTGATGTACGTGGGGGTGGTGAGCGGGTCGAGCAGGCTGCAGCCAACATTGGCGGCCTCAACGGTAGAGGCGGAGTACATGAGCGCTCTAGCGATGACGAAGGCGCTGTGGTTCTGCAAGCTCAAGGGAGATCTTGAGTTGGACCTCGGAACAGTGCAGATCTAATGCGACAACCAAGAGACAATACGGGGAGAAGAGAGCGAGCTTTGGCGGAAGTCCATGGCACGAGACCGCTACGGTGCAAATTGGTGGCGGGCGTTTTGCTGGGCTACGGTGCAGAAATGGGCCAAGGCGCCGTACCAATCTAAATTTAACGTGCGGGCCCTCTGCCGGATTTCCGGGTGCGGCGAAATTTGCCCTCGGCACCAAATCGGTCTGAGATACTGAGCTTTTGGCCCCAATTTCGCCTTGCTTCATTATGCCCCGAATGCGATGCACCGACCAAAGATAAAGTAACGCTCGAGTCTACTCACGCATTGCTGTTTACAAACTCTCTGTTCTGCCTTGCACTCGGTTGGAGCATATTTACATTCTATGTACTCTGTCGTCCATGCAATTTGCTAACCGGGAGGACTTGCTCACTCCGGGCTTTACTTCCACGCAGCCTCACGCTAACATAAACGGCCGGGAGGAACTTCCGGTCACCCCGGGTACTTTTGTGCACTGGAATCTAGGTACAACAACCCGAATATATGTACATCCCGTGTACTTTATAGATCCTACTGCGGTAGGGCCCGGTTCTACCGGTACAACCTAGGCCGGTACTTTACCAAAGCTGTACCGGTGAGTACCTTCAAGAACCTCTCCCCCTTACCGTGCGTGTGGCGGTGCGGCGACGTACGGACAATTGTACGAACGGGTCCTCGCGTGTGTCGCTGGGTATCAACAGGGAATGTGAAAGTTTACCTTCCTTCCTACAAAATATGGTGGTCCAACAATGGCTTCTTTTGCTCTACCTTGCCATATAAGTGAGCCTAGAACATGATAAATGAGTTCATACCAAGCTTTCACACTACCATAGGCTTAGTGTAGACACGGCCCCCAACCATTCCCTCCAGTGAATCTTGCCTTTTGAAGCTCCTACAATGTCATTTTTGTTAGAAGT